TAGCTTCTTTTGCTAGGAGCAATTTTTGAAGCAGTTATCTCTTGCTTTCTTTAAATTTTTTTCTACCTTTTCTTCACCGTTCTTCAAGTTATACGAAAAAAATTCCCTTTGGTTAACCGGTTATTTCTTTATTGGCTTTAAAACACCTGCTTAAATTGTTTATCTTCCGTATTATTTTACAATTTACGCGCCTAAGAAAAAGGAAAAGAAAAAGCAATATTCTGAGAGTGAATTTAATTGTGTAAAATAGACAAAGTTAAAATTAGTAACGAATTATATATCGTTCAATATATGGCAGTGATGCTGGAAATTGCACCTAAAAAAGGAATTAGTTTGTGATCAGAATATACAACAAAATCATTATGAGCTTCGCGTGGTTATGTCATTTTAAAACTGATGCCTTATTAAACACAAGAGCCATTATAGCTAAGGTTAAACATCAAAACTCGCGGGTGGTTTTGACGAGTATTGGACTAATCTTTACTTTGAACAGTTATGTTGCTATTGCTCCCTCTAAACTCTCCATGAAATTTGTCGCGCAAAATTTTTATGTAAACGATTGTTGTTTTAGATGTGATGTTTCCATGGCAATTTTAAAAGTTGTCCTGACGTGTAAACTTTCAACTTAGACATCTTCTGGATTCGCTGTTACCTTGCAAGTTTGTTTGTTAAGCCTGAATGGTTGATTACAGCGAAAGCCGTAACCCATCTCCTTCTAAGAACTCTGGTAATTTTGAAAGCTCGATCTAAAAAGAGTTTAAATAAACAGTGTCTCAAAAAAAGTTGTTAAGTTTGTTAAGTACTAGAACAACGGCCATCTTCGGAGACAACTAAACGCCGCCTGCGAAGCCTTTATTATTCAAGTATCGTCTGACTATTTTTGTTTGATTAAGAATCACTGAACAAAACATATAGCAGAACATTAATACTCTCTGTATCTCGAACTGGCGGAGCTATGCATTTATGTACATAACGAGGAGGATCTTTCAATGTACTTATCTCTCGATCTAATAATGAAATCAGAAGAACCTATGGTTTTCTCCAAACTGCAAGGATCGTCCCAGAATAATAATCACAATTAAGAACTCGCCCCATGTAAGGGAATCCAGGACAGTCTTGGATTCTGGATTCCATGCTGTGGATTCCGGATTCCGGGTACTGGATTCCGGATTCCAGCACAGTGGATTCCGGATTCCTAAAAGAGCTGGATTCCATTTTTTTTCCCGGTTTTAATGCTTTTCTGCGCACTTCGTTTTCGTTTTCGAATCTTGCTATATTGAAAAACGTTGTTAGAAGGCATAACAAGTTTTTTTTCTTTTTCGATTTACAAAATTACGGGAAGAAATGTATCACAGTTCCGCAAAGGGTTTATGGCATAATAATGAGGAGGACATTGGGGGACTGTCTACATCGTAACACGGCAGAAAAAAAATAACAAACACCGCATCACCGCAAAAAAACGTAGCGAAACACGGACATCGCAATTTAAAGTTTTGTCCTACGATTAATCTAATTAAAATCTCCATGTAAATGGAGATGGAGGATCTCGGAGCTGGTTAGTGATTAGTAGAGAGTGAGACTGACCTCAGGACTCTATTTTTCACTTAGTCTACTTTTGTGAACTCTGTTTTCAGCCATGCTGATATAAAAATGCATGCAACGCCCAGATTTCGCCTGTTATCCTTTTGTTTTGAAGTCTTTTTGTATAAAAAGACCATACAGATCATCCTTCGNACGAGGAGGATCTTTCAATGTACTTATCTCTCGATCTAATAATGAAATCAGAAGAACCTATGGTTTTCTCCAAACTGCAAGGATCGTCCCAGAATAATAATCACAATTAAGAACTCGCCCCATGTAAGGGAATCCAGGACAGTCTTGGATTCTGGATTCCATGCTGTGGATTCCGGATTCCGGGTACTGGATTCCGGATTCCAGCACAGTGGATTCCGGATTCCTAAAAGAGCTGGATTCCATTTTTTTTCCCGGTTTTAATGCTTTTCTGCGCACTTCGTTTTCGTTTTCGAATCTTGCTATATTGAAAAACGTTGTTAGAAGGCATAACAAGTTTTTTTTCTTTTTCGATTTACAAAATTACGGGAAGAAATGTATCACAGTTCCGCAAAGGGTTTATGGCATAATAATGAGGAGGACATTGGGGGACTGTCTACATCGTAACACGGCAGAAAAAAAATAACAAACACCGCATCACCGCAAAAAAACGTAGCGAAACACGGACATCGCAATTTAAAGTTTTGTCCTACGATTAATCTAATTAAAATCTCCATGTAAATGGAGATGGAGGATCTCGGAGCTGGTTAGTGATTAGTAGAGAGTGAGACTGACCTCAGGACTCTATTTTTCACTTAGTCTACTTTTGTGAACTCTGTTTTCAGCCATGCTGATATAAAAATGCATGCAACGCCCAGATTTCGCCTGTTATCCTTTTGTTTTGAAGTCTTTTTGTATAAAAAGACCATACAGATCATCCTTCGTTCCGGGTATGAAAAAGCAGTGAAATATTTATTATTTAATCAATTTTAACCGACGTTCCTAGGAGGGTGGAACTTGTTTTGGGTCGTTGTGGGTCTTTTGTCTATTAGTTTTGATCGTTGTGGATCATTTAGGTCGTTTTGGCTCATTTTTCCTGGTTTCTTGTTTTATTAGTAACTGGCCAAATAAAAATACGCTGTGGTGTGTGCAATTCATTCTTTGCAAAGTCTTTGACTCTGTTCACTAAAGAGTAGTTTTCCGTCTCAATAAAACTAGGAAAACCATTTTTATCTTATCTTTTAAGACTTTTTAAAACTCTCTCTCCGTGTCAATCAAGACTTTTGAAGAGGGTAAAAACTTCTCGCGTAGAAGTTGACGCGTACTGCTTTGAGGTTTTAGCGAGCACAGTGATACTGAAATTTAACTGTCAGGTTGAATTTGATGTTAAAAAGAACAAAAACAACAAAAAATTAGTTGGTTCATACTTAAGATGTGCGTATAACCACGTTTTGCTAGAAAAAAACTTCACGGCTCTACCAAATTCGTTGTTTAACACGTCGAAAATTGAGGATTTATTTCGAGCATGCACTCTTTTATATCCTGTCACATTCCTGACAGGCAATAATCGGATTTGACCAGATCTCACCTTCGGCTTCGTCAATAAGAGATCTGGGTCTCTGAGATAGTCTGGGCTCTCTAGGATCCATTTCAAACAAAAAAAAGTAACGGGCTAAACTGATCTCAGATCGGTCTAATTTCCAAAAGCGACCTCAATGTGAACGAGGCCTATTCAGGAGCACAACAGTGGAGAAAGAAAACGTGAAAAATCCGTCTGTTCCTCGACCGAGTCTGAGATGACTGAGAGATCAAGAGAGACTTGAGCGTTTCTTACGCGTTTGCTCGTTTTTAGCGTTTTACAACCATATAGCGCTCATTTATACGATCAGCTTTCTCCACGGACGATGTAAACTTCATATCACATTCAATTATGATTGAGAAAAAAAACCAATCTTTCGTTCATGTTTGTGACTTGCTTACCGCCACGTTACAGTCCACACATCGACACAAACGAAAAATCATGCAGCTTTGCCTTTGGCACGTTTAGATCTATCAGTCAGCTAAAAATTGGTAATAAAATTTCACAACACAGTATTACACGTACCTTTCTCTCTCAGCCTTTTTTGTTTTGCTTGTGCTTTCTCATAACCTTTTTCTTTTTTTAATAACGTAGAAAAGAAAAAGCCAACAGACAACAAACTTCAAACTCGTCTCATCGATGAGGTGGCGAGATTTCACTCGAATGCCGGGGATGAATGAAAAAGACACCCACCTCGTCCTTGCACGTGATTACTTTAGTGACAGCTGATTGGTACGGTTCTGACAGTACCTAGCTTATTTCTCAAATAAAGATTATCGAAACCATGAAACCGTTCTCACCGAAACTACTAGGACCAAATAAGCGACTAGGAGACTTTGAATCAGTTTTTTCTTTTTTGGTAAAATGTTGAAAGTGGACGAACCAGGAGGACCAGGAACGTTCAAGAAAAGTTTCACCCCAGGTGCATCTTTTCCGGTCCTATGCCAGGTCAAATCGCTTTTGATTTTTTAAGGTCATCTAAGCGAGTGAACAACAGAGAATCAAACAAAGCCAGAAGTTGAAGCTATTCACAACAATCCAATTTATACCTTAAAAAAGGCTGCGCTGTATTCCCTTGAAAACCCCCGAATTTTGTGATCCTGCCAGCCGCTCATAATAAAGGGTTCCCTCGCTGACCGTGACCTTGACCTTTCATATGGAGCTCGTGAAGTATGGTTTTGACACCAGATATGCCGATATTACACTGTATGTCATCACGTTGAGGCATATACCCTGGGGAGGCTTTCCATAGATGGTTTTTCTTTCGAGCGAGTAGCTCAATCCAATCTGGAGTGAATCTTTAGTAAGTTGGATTCTGGATTCCAATCTTTAGTAGGATTCCGGATTCCTAGTGCTGGATTCCGGATTCCAAAGCCCAGGATTCCGGATTCCACGAGCAAANCTTTTCCGCGACTTCACATTGGGACTTGAAAAGAAAAAAGTATCTGAATCAGTGAACGTCGTCATCCTGTGGTGTTGGCTTCCAACAAGTTGTTAGAACGCGTTTGAAGCCCTCTCTAAAGTGAGTACTTCGAAAAGCGTAAACAAGTGGATTTAAACATAGACTACAGCTAAACAAAAACTCAAACGCATTCTGGAGATCAGAGTGCTGGTTGATATCTATATTCGCGTTGGTCTGAAGTGCAACAACAATGAGGAAAGCCACAAAAGGTACATAACCGATCAAAAAGCCGACAGTCGCTAGAAGGAATGTGCTAACAAGTTTCTTCTTCTCCGAGCTTCTCTCGATCGCCATCAGTGGTTTCATTTTCTGGGCAAACTGTGTTGGTAAAGTAGAGACCTCTGATCAAGAAACAATAGCAAAAAACCATTATTACCGATTGTACCAAAAAAAGAGCGTTAAATACAATCAAGTGAATCTACCACGATAGATGGATAATTGAATCCCGTTGGCTAACACTCCTGAGCGAACGCGATTGATTCGATCGAATTCTTGAAAGAAGGCATTCGGGATGGATACAAAAACACTTATCACCCAAATGAGAGCGACGGCCTTTTTTTATATTGTCTTCACTTAATTGCAATCCCGTTCTTAAAGGCTTGAGCGAAACGTTGTATCTTTCTACGGCTAGCACAGTAAGAGTAGCGGAAGAAACTATTGCGAAGATTGTAATGAAGGTTGTAATCAGGCCCGATGCCTTGCAAACCAAGTGCCCGAAATTTTCATCAAGTACATGTTGACTGAAGGCAAACCTGTAAGCTGCAATCATTATTATGGTGAAGACATCACTAACGGCCATGCTAGCTAAAAGATAATTTGTAGGGGTGCGAAATCCTTGTCCTGCTCCCCCAACCCCCCCCTCCCCCCTCTCCCTTTCGGGTTTGAGTATGCGCCATGATTGGACTTTACAAAATCAAAATACCATTGTCATACTTCCCAATCAGGTTGAAGGGAAACTCGAAATGCATTTGTGGTAATTCATTGAGTCCGTTAGCGGCTCAGAACAAGGATTTCAGCGCTGGGTCGTAGACATCACTAACGGGGCTTGGAGTATCGTCACTGACTATTGTATCTCGAACTGGCGAAGCTTTACCTTTATGTACATAAAAGCGGAGGTTTTATCAATCTACTTATCTCTCGATCTATGAAAGCAGAAGAACCTATGGTTTTCTATGATCACTTAATTTTTTCTCTGGTTTTCTCCAAACTGCAAGGATCGTCCCAGAATGAAGTGCACAAATAAGAACAGGAACAAACAGAAAAATCGGCATCATGATCATTTGAATATGTTATTCAGCATTGTCAAGTCCTATTGTTTGTGTTGCTGCGAAGTTCTCGGACCTCATCTTTTCTTGGACTTCACATAGGGACTTTAAAAAAAAGGATCTGAATCACTGAATGTCGTCATCCTGTGATGTTGGGTTCCGACAACTTGTTAGAACCCGTCTGAATCCCTCCCTAAAACGGGCACTTCGAAAAGCGTAAACATAGACTGCAGCCAAACAAAAAACTGAAACGCATTCTCGAGGTCAGAGAAGAGGCTCATACCTATATTCGCGTTGGTTTGAAATGCAACAACTGTGTAGAAGGCCATGGAAGGTACATAACCGATCAAAAACCCGACAGTCGCTAGAAGGAATGTAGTAACAAGTTTTTTCTTCTCCGAGCTTCTCTCGCCATCAGTGGTTTCAGTTTCTTGGCAAACTGTGTTGGTGAAGTAGAGATCTCTGATCAAGGAACGATAGCAAAATACCATGACCACCGATTGTATTAAAAACATGGCGGTATGTAAAATCAAGTATATCTTCAACGCTAGATCAATATTTGAATCCCGTGGACCAACACATATGGAACGACGGGTTCGAATTCTTGAAAGAAGACAGACGGGAAGGATACGAGAACACTTGTCACCCAAAGTAGAGCGATGGCCTTTTTAACATTGTCTTTATTTAAGCGTAATCCCGTTCTTAAAGGCTTGAGCAAAGCGTTGTATCTTTCTACGGCTAGCACAGTAAGAGTAATGGCAGAAACTATTGCGAACGTTGTAATGAGGACCGCTGCCTTGCAAACCAAGTTCCCGTTTTTTTCATCAAGTATATGTTGACTTAAGACAAACCTGTAAGCAGCAAACATCATTATGGTGAAGACATCACTAACGGCCATGCTAGCTAAAAGATAATTTGTAGGGGTGTGCATCTCCCTTGTTTTGTGTACGATTCGAATGACCAACACATTTCCGATGAGTCCACTGATGTAAAATGGTATGGAACAGCAAGACAAGACAAAACTTAGGCTATCGGTTTCGACCATGATTAATGCTTCAGGTTTTGCTTTTGTGTGTGTGTGTGTGTGTGTGTTTCGAAATTTGTTCAAAGAAATTGTTCACAAGAGTTATCGGTCTTGTTAGTTATAAAAAAAAATATTCATTACACGCATATCAGTTAGTAGACGGACGACAAATTGAGGTGGTTCACATTATCACTAAGATAATGTCAATTAGTAAAATCCAACCAGTGGTCTATTATCAAGCTGCGTTCTGATTGGTTGAGCTACTACTAGGCTATATGTTATAGCACACTAATAGCGAAAAGCGCTGGCTTTTTGGCGGCAAAAGAGGATTAAAGTCTAGCTTTAACTGGCTAAAAAAATTTTATTCTCGATATTTTTGACCACCTAGTTGGATTTTACTTAAACAATTATTCCTCTCACCCTCATGGCCTCTAAGTTAATAGCCCATTCGGTCTTCGGGCTCATGGGCTATTGACTCAGAGCCAATTCGGGCTCGAGGAATAATTGTGAAATATATCCATTAATACCATTGGACCATGCTGTTAAATAATTGACCACCAATAGATCGTTTTTACATGACGTCAAGGCGGCCATATTTGTGTACAAAACAATGAATCGGAGGCCATGTTTTGTGTACAAAAACAGTCTTGTGGGAATTGAACTTTCTACATATTAAAACTTTCTATTATTCCAAGCAATTTGCAAAGCTGCTGACCACGTGACTGAAAACGATCTATTGCATGGACGTCTCACATAGTAAGGACTACAATTCATAATTAAAAGCGCGTTATGAAGTCAGTTATAAATAGCCATACACCTGTCTTTGGTCCTCCCTATACCGTAAAATTCCGAAAAAAAGCCCCTCCATGTATAAGCCCCTTTAAATGTAAGCCCCTCAAACCTGTAACGCAAAACACGTTTCGTTAAATGGCCCCTCCAAATATAAGCCCCCCCGGGGCTCGTACTTGAAAACAGTGCCCTCAAATACAAGGTAAAACAAAGACAAAACGGTAAATTCCTTCCGACTATAAGCTAGTCTAATCGACTTTGAAACGCAAATTTCCCTCCGTACATTCCCTCCGAATATAAGCCCCTCAAAAAGGGCCTTTAAAAAATAGAAGCCACGGGGCTTATTTTCTGAATTTTACGGTATCTTAATTCCCTTCCCTTTATTTCGGCACAACAACTTTTCTGCATACTAACAAATAATTTTCTCCATACTGCAAATATTATCTTCCTGCCCAGTTACCAGCGTCATTCTTTTAATACTAATAGACGCCTTAGTTATTATTAACTTATGATTAATGTGTCTATAATTATACACCGGACTGTTTTCGGTCAGGTCGTCTCTTCCAACTAATTAACCATGCATATAACCCAACCCACAGTCCTGCTTTGATCTTTCTAAAAAAATTTTTCTCAACTTATTTTTCAAGGAAATGTATGGAGATCAGTCCGAAAAATTTGAATGTGGATACTTGTTAAGCGGACAGTGTATTATCCTTCAGTGAGGGCCCCGTGGGGTGTTTTGGGGGAAATCAAACTCAAAAGACGAAATCATAGTTTGGGAAATGACACTTCTTGTTTGATCTACAGACATTGTGGGAAGGCTTGGTTTTAGACCCGAAGATAAACAGAGACGGCAGGGCGTGGGAAGTAGGACCACTTGACTATACCACAACTACTATTATGACTCCTCGTATAAATACGGTCACCCCATGTCAGTAATGGAAAAAGTGGCTGTTCACATCCATGCCTTGAATTAAAAAAGTCACCAATGATCCCCGAGTTGCTGCAACCATTCTACTAATTGGCTCGGGCCTTACAATAGCCACAAAACTGTGACATTAAAGGGAGAATGTTCCTACGCCTTCACAAAGAAGTGCCCATAATCCTACCTGCACTATTTCTGCCTAAAAGCATGCTGTTACTTCTTCTATTTCATTGCATTATCATTGTTATTGAACTCTCGTTTGCTATTTCACTGTCGACCAGTACAAAAGTGTCTTTCTTGTCGTTACGGCTTTGACGGGTAACAATGGTCAATGCGAAAAACAAAACCCAAATTGGAATTTATTCCTCCCTAACACTGAGAATTATTAAAAATGCATTAGCTAGATTACCTGTACCTTTCCCATATTGAAAGCAGGATAAAAAAAAGTCAGTAGAAGGTAAATAATCTCATGGTATGTTTTTCGTTTTTGCTTCTGTAATTTACTTTCACATTCTATAAATGAATAACACCAACGATGACAACGATGATGATGGGACATGCAGTCGATTTACTATATAATGTTATATAATACTAGTGATATGAAGTTTTTATCATGAGCAAAATTTATTACAGTTTATTGCAGTGAAAAAATTATGATAACTACCACTACTTAGAATAAAATCACAAAGATATGAACTACGCGAAGAGAAATAGTTTAAAGGTGTTCTTCTCTTCTTCTCTCTTACCCCATCTCAATATCATTGTTCGGTGTCGGTTTCTTGCATATCAGTAGGCGTTTAAACTCTTGTTGGTAGCTTGAACTTCGAAAAGCGTACAAAATTGGGTTGAGACATAAAGTTAATTCAAACAGAACGCTTGATACGGCTTTAAGAACAGAGTACAGTTTTGGGTCATAATTTTGTTCATTATCTCCCGATGAAACAAGAATGCAGAGACCTACTATATAAGGCCAATAACCGATCAAAAACGCTAAACTCGCTAGGAGAAATGTCAAAACCAGTTTCTTTTTCTCCGAGTTTCCTTCTTCATCATTTTCTGAGCAAATTGTAGTAGTAAAGTAAAGTCCCCTTATCAATGATCCATAGCAGAAAAACATGATTGTCGATTGCATGATGAAAATTGAAACATACAGAAGTATATAAATTTTGCTTTCTTTATCGAGTCGAGGAAAACATGAAGGGTCTTCCTCGCTCCATTCTACAAAGAAGAACTGTGGAAAGCAAATTACGACACTCGTGGTCCAAATGAAAACGATGGCCTTCTTGACGTTATCCTCGCTTAACCGCAGTTCGGTTCTGAAAGGTTTTAGCAGGGCGTGATATCTTTCTAAAGCGAGAACTGTGAGTGTAATAGAAGAAACCATAATACAAATTCCAACGATGCTAAATGCCTTGCAAGCGAATGTAGCGAATTTATGACTCACACGTCCAAGTTGATCTGCAGTGAATTTGTGACACGAAAACAACAGAATGGTAATGACATCGCTAACGGCCATGTTAGCTAAAAGGTAATTCGTTGGCGTATGCATCTGTCGTGTCTTGTGAACGATTCGGATAACCAATACATTTCCTATAAAACCAATGGCAAA